CTCGCTGCCCCGATCCCAGCACCTCTCGCTGCCCTGATCCCAGCACCTCTCGCTGCCCCGATCCCAGCACCTCTCGCTGCCCCGATCCCAGCGCCCCGATCCCAGCGCCCTTCGCTGCCCTGATCCCAGCGCCCGATCCCAGCACCCCTCACTGCCCCAATCCCAGCGCGCTGATCTCTGTGCTCCCATTGGCCCTCAATCATTGGGCCCTCCAACTAGATACATCTCTGCACCCCTACTGCCTCTATCCCTGCGCCCCGATCCCAGCACCTCTCGCTGCCCCGATCCCAGCGCCCCGATCCCAGCGCCCTTCGCTGCCCTGATCCCAGCGCCCGATCCCAGCACCCCTCACTGCCCCAATCCCAGCGCGCTGATCTCTGTGCTCCCATTGGCCCTCAATCATTGGGCCCTCCAACTAGATACATCTCTGCACCCCTACTGCCTCTATCCCTGCACCCCAATCCCCCCCACTGCCTCCAGGCCCGGCACTCCTAATCCCTGCACCCCCCACTGCCTCCAATCCCTGTACCCTTAAACCCTGCATCCGTAATCCCTGCACCCCCACTCCCTGTACCCCAATCCCTGCCCCCTTACTGCCTTCAATCCCTGCACCCCTAAACCCTGCACCCCCTCATTACCTCCAATCCCTGTACCCCCACTGCACCAATCTTGCCCCACATTCCTGGCTCACCCTCCCTGCATGCCAAAATCCCTCCCATTCACTGCTCCCAAACTCCCAGCATTATCTTTGCTGTACCCCAAATCCTTGTACCCCCTCACTGACTCCCAATCATTGCACTCCTCACTGTGCCCCCAAATCCTGCACCTTTCACTGCCCACTGAGCTCCTGCATCCCCACATCACTACATCCCCTCACTGCACCGGTCCCTGCCCCTTGCTGCACCCCAAATCCTTACCCCATCCCTGCAACACCTGCCCTGCCCCCCCACCACCCCCAAGCTCTCTACATCTCCTCACTGCTGGCTCCCCCAGGTAGGTGCATGCTCCCCTTCCTCCTACACAGCCCCACCCAGGCCATGAATGTCCCCCACTCTCTGTGCACCCCTAACTCCATGCACAGCTCCCCACCCTGTACTCCCAATTCTGGTCATGGCCCCTTGCTGCCCCCTATAACCCACAGCCCTTCTGTCCCTCCCCGCACCCCCTCCACAG